CTGGAGTGTAGTGTGATGTTTTAGATGGTCGTCTCCATGAAAACCCCTGAGGCATAGGGTGCTTTGAGGTTCCTTTCCCAGTCCATCTGAGCCGGATCCTGTCCAGGCTCCAGTGTGGTTGATACCTCCAAGCCGAGGGGCTTCTGTAAGCTTGGTCTTTTCTTTGGTTTTCCCAATGTGCTGGAGGAGCTCCTGGAATTGAACTGCGGTCAATGGTGCTGCAGTCATGGTTGGAGGATCAGATGGTGGGATGATTGGATCAGATTCAAAGAAGGCTTGTCTGAAGCCTTGTGGACTGAACAAGGATGCTGGTGCTGGTGCTGGTGCTGCTGTTGAAGATGAAGATGCTGAGGCAGAGGAAGCGTCGTCAAGGTCCATCAATAATAGATGATGGAATTTGAGGCAGTGAAAATCAACAAGGTCAACAGTGCAGCAATGGCAACAAGAGCAATGGTAACAAGAGGAGGCCGGTGGATATCCAGTCAATCGAGTCAATCGAAGATGGAATTTATGAGTGGTTGGATCCTTCGTTGGATCCGTCGAACTTGGCGAATCGGTCGTTTGAACACTGTTGTTCTTCGCGTCGTTCGGCGAATCGGTCGTTTGAATAACAACTGCAAGCCAGCTCTTGAAACGACCAATGCCAGTCCTAGGTAGACTGAGCTTGTTGTTATCGATCGGCAGTTTGTTGTTGACAACAACGCGAGCGATGGACGGAGAAACAGCGATCGATCGGCAGTTGTTGTTCTTCACGTACATTCGGTTTGAAACCAAAAAGTGAGGAGTTTGCGAAGATATAAGGCAAGCATGACTCAGCCAATTCGAATCGATAATATCGGGCGATAAAGCATGATTCAAGGCATGACACACAAGCCGAGCCTTATGTATGCAGTCGGAGCTCATTTTATCGCGATTTCTGTTAACTCGGATCGATCGATCGATGCGACGGAGATGAGGCAAGGCTCTACGATCGATGCGACGGAGATGAGGCAAGGCTCTACCGGTGATAGAGATAACAGTAGTAGTAGTCGAACGTGCAGTACCAGTAGTGGCTACTGTGACAGAGATAATAGGATCCTCATTGAGATTACGATCGTCAATAGGATTAAGAAAGGTGGACTCCCATAGGAGTCCATGGTATAATATATGGTCCTCATCGCGATTTCGATCGACGACAGGAGTAAGAACAAGGGGATTGCTTTCGAGCGAATCCAAGGGAAGTGAGTTGCAATAAAGGGAAGGACTATCGATGAAGAATGCAAGAGGAAACTCATCAGGAGCAATCTGCATCAAGGAGTAGCACATTCCATTGACAACCATAGGGGATAGACATATAAGAAATAGAATGAGTAACATCTCATAACCTCGCATGCTACCATGCGACAATACCATTGTGTACTGATTAATCTAACGATCTAAGAGATGTAAAGTTTGTATTTCCAAATAAGTGAGCAGTTATTGATTATTTTCTAGAATAAGCCTGCTAGTTGTAAAGCTGTAAAGCTGAATTGTAAGCTGTATCCCGTCGCAATCATGACGAATTCTTCAGGGACGTCATTGACCCCAAGGATCTCGAGGCCATTGGAGTCGCAGTCCTCGTCCCACACGAGCACCGCCAGGAGATGCTCGACTACGAGGCCGAGCACTGCCCTGATTATTTGTACAACTCCCACATGCATCGCTTTGGCAACACTGACATGATCATCCCGGGTGTTGCTGACGAGTTTCTAGCTATCGCTCCCGAAGGCGGGCTAGAGCTCAGCCCTGAAAAAGAATTCTACGGGTTACTTACCTACCGATACATGCCCATGGACAGCTGCAGCGTGCAGATGGATTACCTCTCCGATCCAGAGTACGGTCCATTGTTCGATACTGCCATCCTCTTGGACCAACCACTTATTACCTGTCCGTGGATACGCAGAGCCCTCTGAAGGGTTGGCCAAAATGCACCCTAATTAAAAATTGCAGGCTGTGCATTGATCTCACATCGAAATCACGTCTTTGCTTCCAGATGTCGCTGTCACAGGGGTTCCGTACGCTCAAGATGATCATGCCTTGCGAATGTGTCGGTTTGCGTCCAACTGCCTCAGCCTCTTTGCCACTACCTTGCATCGTCTGGAAGACACAGTGGGTAGGGCCGATCTGAGACTTCGAGTTGGTATACATTCCGGTGAAGTCACTGGAGGGGTCCTCCGTGGCTTGAGGTCGAGGTTCCAGGTGAGTGCAGGAACTGGCGTACCACGCCCGCCACAGTCACAGTCGCTCACATATCGCCTTTTCCTGCATCCTCCAGTTGTTCGGGGACGCAATGAATACTGCCTCTCGCCATGAGACCACTGGGGCGCCAGGACGGGTTCACGTGTCCATTACATCTGCTGACCTCATCAAGGAGAACGGGCATGCGGATTGGCTTGAGAAACGAGAGGACAAGGTGGTGGCGAAGGGCAAAGGCGAACTTGAAACTTATTGGCTGAAGGTCAATGTCGTCGAGGCCCAGACAGAAACAACCTCAAGGGTCTCCTCGGTCAATGGCTGGTAAAGATACTGTGGTTCCGGCGTCGCAGCCAGCTGAATGAGCCTTCGTCCACCGAGCACTCTCCGAGGACGCATGCCTCGCACCAGGCACAATACCAATCTACCCAATATCACAAGAAACTCTCTACAACACGTTCTACTCTAGCTCGGCCTACCGGAAGGACAGAGACCACGAAGACATCAATTCTACATGTACTAGAAAGCTTCAGAAGGTGATAAACCAGGATCACTGACACGGGGCATTCCTCATCACCATGTATCACATCATTTTCAGTTTCACACATTGATTAATAGTTTTTATATCTAAGTGTACTATTCACATCATATTGTGAATTGTTTTTTCTTATGCTGTTTGTTAGAAGCAACGGGTGCCCCAGCAACACCATCTTGGAACTCCAATTTGGTCCCAGTCCCGATAATTCCCAAAGTGGCTTCTCGGCCAACTGGGCATACTGTAGAGCTACCGTAGCTGGCGCCTGTGTACCGTCCGAACAGATCACAATCCCCGAAGACACGAAATCACAAAGGGAGGATTGGTCGTCAACACATAAAATAATATGTCCAGATCATTGTTGTATTGCTGAAGCAAGTTCCAAAAGTCAGAAGCCCCCGCGTTCGGTGGCAACTCCTTTTGCAGCACGAAAGGTCTCAACCCTGTTCTGTTGAGGTTCAAATAACACTCCAACTGTGCTTCGAGATCCCCGCTGGCTTGTGTATACAGATTCACCAAGGTGATGTTGCGTCCCGACCGTAGCAGCTCTACGAATGCCTTTTGTCCGACCTTTTGACTGAATCGAGTGCAATGCCCCGCAAACACCTGCAATTCCAGTTTTCGCAGTGTCGTGTTGTGTTGCAGAGCATTGACAATCCCGGTGACGGCATCATCGTCCATTCCTTGACAATTTTCCAGCGATAATGACTGGAGTGATTGATTGGAGGCAATCATATCGGCAATGGCCTTCCAACCAACGCGGCCCATATCCATGACATTCAACAGCCGAAGGTCTCTGAGTGACGACGACGCAGTTCCACCTCCGAGCGCTCCCGAACAAAGTTTTAGGGTGTCATTGTCCAATCCTGACATATGGTCCAAGTGGAGACTCTCGAGATGGAGTTCGTGTCTCTGAGTTTGCATCATGTGTGCCAGTGCCGCCCAACCACTAAAGGACAGTTCGGCGTGAGCCAAGGATAGAGTTTTCAAGGACTTGTGTCTTTGCAGTGCTTGTAAGAACTCGGCTTCGTCTCGCATACATAGACTCGAGAGTTCAAGTACCTGCAACGATTCACACTGTTGTGCAAGTGGTTTCAAGGATGCCGTGTGCTGGGCGCTGTGTCTATTGTTGTTGGTGTTGTTCTCGTCGTTATTATCGTCCAATACGCGTATATGTCTCCTTTCCTGTTGTCGTTGTACAGACATGTGAAGTTTAACAGTTTGTAGATTGGGGATTGTTGCAATACCTCGAATGAGAGAATTGAGTGATATCCCTTCTTCCAGCCTCAATTGTGTAAGAGTAAGTGCTCGCAAGGCTGCATGATTCCGAAAGGCTTGAAATAGGGTCCGATTGGCGACTGTATTTTCATCTTCTCGATGCGGCAGCAGATAGGTCAGACTGGCATCCAGGTCGTCTTGCTCTGAGGGATTTGCCAGCTCGACAAATCGCAACGTCAACGTCTCCAATCGCTTGGCTTGGTGCAGAACGTGCTGAAGATAGTCCACCGGCATTCGGTAGCCATCAAAGTCAATGACTTCTTGAACAATCAGAGTCTTGAGCGCAGGCAATTGACTGATGGCATCTAGAAGCATCCAATCAAACGAGACGGCAACATCTTCATCATTGTCGGCTTGGTGGTGGCTTGCTGCAGCAGACTCCTCCCACAGTGTTGTCATCTCTTTGAGAAACTCCCCCGAGACGGAAACTTGATGGACAGAAGTGTTTTGTCGCATGGCTTGAAAGAACTCCTCTACTCGCTCTCGAATACCTCTGAGAAACCAATCGCTGCAGCAACCATCCTCCAATTCCAAATGGGTCAATCGAGAATCACGAAGGCTCTCAAACATAATATCCTCTCCGAGGTCCAAGATCAGGTCTTGGATGAACGGTTCTTCGTCCTCCATCATCAAATGAGAGGATACCTCCGCTGCGTCATCATCGTTCCAGTCATCTACATGGATTGCTGCTGGTATTCCGTTGTGATCGCTGTTGTCGTCCATCGTTGGGCTTTGCCTTCAACAGTCAGACTTCCACTCTCAAACTTTCTCTCATGGTGTGCTACAGAGTGTAGTGTGGTGCTCTTTGAAAAGAGAAGAAAATGCATGTTTGGGCGGCGGGACTGACAAAAGTGATCTCCTACTCCAACCCTTGTGTGTACAGATCGATGCGAACCGCTATCCTTCGCAGCAACGCGAACCAGGGAACATTCTTGTTCTGGAGCTCCAAGGTGCTTGGTTTCAGTTTCCACCAGCTCTCTTTGTTGGACCATAATAAAGCTAACACCGAATATCGAAAGGTCAAAGAAAACTACGCGAACTTCTTCAACAAAAGGAAGCTACAGCAACAATGATTTCGAAAAGCACCAGCGCTTGGATGCTTCTGATGATGGCGGTGCCAATGCAAGGCTTTACCCCCTTGCAGACGCAAACCAAGCAACGGTTCTTGGTATCTTTGTCCATGGTATCACCACCGCCTCCCATCAAGAGCCTCAGCCGCAAACCGGTTGCCTTGAAACACTTATTCCGACATTACGATGATATCAGCATGGATTGCTGGTTAAGGTGCCATGCACCAGAATCCTTTCTACGGTCGTGTGGATACACACAACGAGAGATTGACACCATGGCACAAGAGTATCCCGAAATTCTCAATAAAGACGTCCATGATCATCTTGCACCCCACATGAGGTTCCTTGTTCGAGCGTTGGGTGGAGGAACGGGTGATTTGATGTGGGCATCGACAGAGCCGTTCCTCAGCGAAGAGGAGGACGACGAATGTGCCCTGGCGAATTACGAAGACAACGATGGAAGCGACAAACACCGTCTGCGAGTTTCCCCCTTGGCCAAACAGAATGTGCCTGTCAAGTCGTTTTTCAATCTACGGCTGGAAAAGGCATTGGCGCCTTGGCATGCTTACATGGAGTGGCAAAAGGGCGTGCCGTCTGGCAAGGCATTGCTCCAGGATGGGGTCAAGTTGACAGAATTCTTGACCGTTGCTCAGTCAGGAAAACTGGACCATTTTGTTGAATTATGCAATGCCTGGGATGCCACTGGAAAGCATCACACGGTCGAACAAGTCTCCGAGTTTACCCATGCCTTTCACGAAGGAATGGTTCCTGCCGTTCGAAACCACTTGCATGTCAATGCCAAACAAGTCAACTGTGAACCCGGGCAAATGACAGAACTGCTCCTTTCACATGGTGCCAACCACTTGGAGGATGATCATCATGGAGCGTCCTTGTTGCATTGGGCTGCTGGTACTGGTAACTTGAGAGCCGTCCAAGCATTGCTGCGAGAAGGGCAACATGACGGTATTCCCGCCAAAGAGGTGATTGCGACCGATCGGGTCGCCAAGGATGGCGCTACAGTGCTCCATTGGGCAGCTTGTGGAGTATCACCACTTGGAACCTTTGGCAATGGGGGGCATGTCGACATTTGTCGTCTACTCCTCGATACGGCAGGCAAAGATTTGGCCAATCAGACAACCAACAGCCAGAGTTCAGCCTTGGAATGGGCAGCTTGGGCAGGGTCTCTTGACGTTGTCAAGCTCCTCATTGAAGAATATGATGCCGACCCACACTTTTGCAGCGACAATGGCAATGTGGCGCATTGGGCCTGTGCCGGTGGTTCACTTCGTGTTTGTCAGTACCTGGCTGACACCCATGGCGTCAACTTTTGCCTTCCGAACATGGTCAAAGGCTGGACGCCACTCAACTTGGCTAGTTCAGAATATCACCCAGGTAAGTACAGATGTTTCCAGCTGGTTGTGGCTGCAGTTTTCCCTTCGTTGTGTACCATCCTCACGATTGTTCTTGTGCGAAACTTAGACATTGCGGAATGGCTGGTGCAACGTTTCTTTCAAACCACTAGCGAGGACACAGGATGTAACATAGAAAGCGATTGTATACAAAGCGAGGTGGCAGCAGCACTACACAACGAACTCATGGATACCAAGACGACAAATGGTGCAAAACAGTCATGAACATTGAAGGAGGCTATACCGTACGTTGCTTTTGAAGTGCAATTTCGGAAGGCGAGCCAATCGAATCATTAGCAGACACTACCGTCGCTAGGCAATAACATAATGCTAAGGAGAGTGTGGATTTTCAATCAATGGGTTCCTATGACAGGTACATCGTACTGGTAGTCCTGCAGTAGATTGCTCCGGTCGATACCTGGTACAAGACTTTGGTCCTCTCTATCAACCGTATGCACCGGCAAGATGGATGGCGTCTTGAAATTTCCACTCTCCACGTCGTGGGAGCTTGACGAGTGGGATAATTTCAAGCGGATTGAGAGTCGGAGTCGTGAAAGTCGAGTCGAGTCTGGCGACCTCCTCGCACAATTTTGAGGCAAAAGATAAGAGGAGTCAAATTTTTGGATTGACGGGGGTCTACGGAAGCTTGGTTCACATGGTTCTACAAGACCCTGTAAAGATGTGGAAGAACAAAACTACCATCTCTGATCTGTTGCCAAATTGCATCTTGGCGACCTATCATCTTGCCAATAGCCACCCATCTAGCCAGACAGATCAACCATAGCCATCAGAGAGGAAACGAAAACACGCAACATACATCAGGATGCCCAGCATGTCACCCATAGGAGCTTTAACCAATAGGTTTTCGAACATTCGCGATGGTTTGCAGAACCAAATGGCAAATATGAACTCAAATTCACCAAGATCCTCCATGAACCGCGGTGTCTCTAAAGAAAGGCAGCTTCGTAAAGTGGAGCTTCTGGTGAGGGACCCAGTTCTTTGGGCGGAGTTCAAGCGACGAGTTGCGGCAAGGAACCATTTTTCCAATGCTGGTGTACAGTATGTCCTTCATGAACTCTGTGATGAGCTCAATATTCCTGGGCTAGACCTTATCGATGATTCGTCCAGCATCCAGACGGCGAAAAGCACACAATCAACCAGGAGAGCCTCTTTTACAGGTTCCAACAAGGCCGGAAATGACAATGTCCCCACCAAGAATCGCTTTGGCTTGCTGCGCACGCTCCGTTCGGGGACCCGGGAACCTCCAACTCCTGAGGTTTCCTATAGTCACAGTCCTAGCTCGCACTTCAGTAAGGTGCCTTGTCCTGAGAGTCCAGGGTCCCAGCTGAACCTGTCACCAACCAAAACGCCATTGACACCCATGTCGGCTACTACGGTATCCACAGCTGCCACCATGACTCCAGCTAGTGATGTTACCTTGCCAAAGGAAATCCGTGCCAGAGGACCTGTTCTAGACTTCCTGGAACAGCCCAACTTTTAGACAACACTATTCGTTCACAATGACAAGACAGCAAATCAAGACATCAACCTTCCAACTTCACCACATCTCCATTAAGTCCCCGGCAGAATCCAATGAGCAATCATGATGGCACATTCCTGTGACCACTGTGACAAGTGCGTGGCTCATACATATATTCTTCATAACTAACTTGAGCAGATCATATATAGCATGATTACTGTTATATGTACAACAGCAACTAGTGGCCAGAACTACCAATCATTTGCGCGTAGATAATCATAAGTTGACACCCCCGTTTGAGATCATTTGCGCGTTGCTACTGGTGCTGATCACTGTGAAAGGAGAATGCCGCGATGGCAGCAACCGCTGCTGTATCAGTTCTCAGGACATTGCCCCCCAAGGAAACACTCCAAAACATAGTGTTCTCGTCGCAAAGTCTGTCGAAAGTGTCTTCCTCAGCAGGACTCCATCCACCTTCTGGTCCAATGAATACCATGCAACGGTGGTGCATTGGTGAACCAATGGCTGTCTGCTCGTTTTTTTCTGTGCTAACTTGGGACTGAATGCGTTGCAAAGCCTGTAGTATGGGTGTGCTCTCGGGGCTTCGCTCCCGGCAAATCAGCACAGAAACTTGTTGATTGTTTTGGTCGTTACTCAAGTGATCCAGCAGGTCCCACAGACTGGTCAATGAATTTGGTGAAGTGGTGGGGTTGTCGATGTCATTAAAATTTGCGTTGTTCACATCTTGATCATCCTCGCCACTCCCAAAAAGTGATAGATGCTGGGGGAGGCAAAGACGTTCACATTGCTCCGTAGCCTCCGAAACATACGCTTGCCCTTTTCGTGGATAGTCTCGAGCCGAGGTTCTTGTTGCCTCGGTCCGATCTGTGTTCAGCAACAACCAGGCGTCCATTCCCAACTCTGTGGACTTTTCCAGGATCCATTGAAAGCGTTCCTTCTTTTTGGGTGGCGCAAAGCACAGAATGGGGAGCAATGAAGTCACGGAGTCTTTTTCCACGGACTGCATTTGGTGGTTTGAACTGGTTTTACTTCTTAGGAGGGATAGACATTGAGCCACCACTGTGTATTCTTGTCGTCTGGGTCGTTTCTTGCTGGAACCGCCGCCAAGGTCGCCCAGAAGATCCAATAGAGCCACCCATTCGGTGTTTCCATCAAAGATCCTGATACAGGGTTGCTGTCCCTGATAACTCCATCGGCCCTTTTTGCTTCCGGGACCAATCATTCGCATCACGTTGGTCACGTAGTGGGACTGATCACTGGATAACTGCAGCGTCGTTCTTTCCTTTGTCATGCTGCTGGATACCTTGCTGGCAGAATCCAATGTATCCGATAGGTATCGCGATAGCGACCCTGGTGACTCTGGAAGTGGCCCCACGTAGAGTCTGGGAAGGAGGTGACTTTCTGAATCTTTGGCGGCGGTTCCCTCGGTGGCTACAAGGAGCCGACGAACAATGGGTCGGATCCGATCTCTTTGGAGTCTACCAGTACGAGCAGCAAAGATGGGAGAGTGCAGCTGTATCTGGGTGAAGAAGGCCATGACAACCTTTGAATGCATATGCCACAAAAGAACACAGGGAAGGAATATCAACCTATTGTACGCTCTCTTGTGGCAGCGACTGATGGGTTTGTTCATTCTACAGTATAATGCATACCTGCAGTCGCAAGCTTAGCACACAGGAGCCAAGGAGACCGAGGAGCCTCTGAGCCACTATCATCCATCGCCCCATGCCCCATGCATGCATCGGTCAGACTTTGGACCGGTCGACAACAGACGCTGTATTTTTCCGACGTTTTGCATTAGAGTTAAAGAGCTCTTCGCGGAGCCTACCGGTACCAGGTACATGTACCCGTACAATGTCATGTACAGCACAGTACCGTACCGTACCGGTACCAGGTACCAGGTACCAAGGTACCAGAGAACCAGCTGCCGGTCATAGCGCAACCTTCCAATCTATCTGAAGTATGGTACGGGTACCGCGGTACCTACAGGTACACGTAATTCTTATCCTTTTTCCTTTGGAGACAGCAACAAGCTAGTAGCAAGGATAGGAGCGAGCAAAATCTGGAGTCTACTTTTGAATCTTTTCCCTTCTAAAGTACTCGGTCATTCGTCACCGCGGGCCAAAGCCGCGAGCCAGGATATTGCTTCTTCACGTTGACAGGCAAGCCAGAAACATGGTCCTCCTCGGTTCTGTCCAAGCAAAAACCAGAACCAGCATGCTACCGGCAGATCTAGCCCGCTGGCTTGGTGTAAGGTGTAAGAATAGCTAAAGATACCTTGAAGAAGATGCTGTGCAACTGTAAGACGCGCTTTGGACCTTGCGGATTCCAACCCTTGATTTATTTGTACAGTCGTACTGTTCTAGAGACTTCTCCGTCGACAAAAAGCTTCAATACACTTCATCAGAGAAAGGCTACAGTATCGCGCTTCGCGCTGGTAGAATTGGTTACTAGCTAGTTTTGGAGTTTGGAGGTGCATGATAACATAAGCTCCGAGGCTGCCTTGCTTCTTTGGTGATCCGCAAGCCTTTGCACCGTTGTGCAGGGAGAATAGCTTCGATCAAGAGAGAGGGCATCACTACTGTTGGAAGGCCTGTGGATTGTGGATCACCATGCATCCTTGCATGCCTTTGTGCTTCACTGTTAGATATCTTTAGATCTTTTGCTCGGCTCTGCTTGGACTAGTGGCTTGGCTTGGTGGGTTGGTGGTGCAATGTACGTACCCTACGATACCGGTACGGTGCGGAGTACGGAGTATGTAACTCGAGTAGAAGCAGTTTGGTACTTACTTAGTCTTGTGCAGTGGGTTGAAGACTTTTGTACTATACTTGCTATAGTTACATCCCTTTAAAACAAGAGAACCTACATGTATGCGACTCCTCCCTATTTTTCATGTTAACGGTAGAAAATGCAGGATTGGATAACCGTGATTTATTTAATGACAGTTTCTCGATTCGTTGGTCTGAGAAGGTCAATGAACCTGTCAAGGAGACCTACATACTTAACAATAAAGTTCACTGGGTTGTTCCTACCTTCTTGAGTGTTCTCTTAGAGGATCGGCACATGTTGCCTTGTCGCCATGATGTCAATGTCCGTCGAATGGCTTGTGGAGCTCTTGTTGAGTGTGGAGGTGGCAGGGACATGGCGGAGTGAATTGGCTTGTGTGGGTTGGCACAGCTGCATTATTTCTTCTTCGACAAACCCACTTGAACAAGCTCTTGAACATTTAGCATCGATGTGCAGTGAAGAACAAAGTAAGTAAGTGGGCTCGGCAGACGGCAGACCTGAAGAAAAGAGACATAGTGACATAGTTGTGGCGGAATTACAGTGGGTTCCACAGCTTTCTCAGGTTGCCTTCAGGCTCGGTTGCCAAGGGACTTTTATCCACTTGCTTTGCATGGCTTATACTCTTCATACTGACTACCCGCTAGCTAGAGCAGCCAAGCACTGCCAACATTCCTCGCCTCACAATTCAAAACGCATCCCTCCTGAAACAACACACTGAAAGAATGGGAAACTCAGCTACTCTTCGAATCTCTCGCCGTAGCAAGACCTACAATGATTCTTTCACATCATTTGAGCTTACTGAGGTACGATGATGAGCGAGCTTGCTACATGCCGACACAATTGCTGGTTTGCAACGCCACCTTGTGTTCAACGTTTTTCTTTTCTCTAACTCGATGCACCCACGGCAACAACAGGACCTTTTTTCTAGTGAGACGCGAGGAGCTACAAGTAGCTTGACTCGCTTCTTCATGGGAGATAATCTTGAAACTGTTATCAACAGCTGTGGGGAGCGCCTCAACGACAGCACTGCTGATAACGAAATCTACATGGACTCCCTGGTAGAGACATGCCAGAATCTAATGGGGCGTTCAAGAGATCCTCTTGACCTCTTCGAGGCAACCGAGTTGGAAACAATCGCCCGGTCTCTGAGCATGGATCACGACCTGTCCTCTGAGTTGTGGACCCTCCTTCTCCGAATCTTCGTTTGCATCCACATGGACAGGTTCCACTCTGCGGACTCGCTCATTTGCCAATTCAAGAGGCTCACAAAAAGGCTGGTCCTTCCTGGTCTATTGAAGAATCTACTTCTCTTCTATGATGGGCTTACTTCGGCAGTGTTGGCATCGCAGGTTGACTGCCGAGAGAAGCGCATCAGGTTGAACGCAGCCCAGAAGATTCTGCGCAAACTTCGATCGGTGGACAAGGATGACTCGATCATGAGAAACAAAGCTTTTATGTTGGATGCCCAAATCCATGCAGCTCGTGGCCAGGAAGAGACAGCCCTGTTACTGTTTCACAAGTCTGTCGATCTTGCGAATGACCAAGGTTTCACTCATGAGCAAGGCCTTGCCTTTGAGTTGGCTGGCCGCATGTGCCAGCAGTGTAACAATCGCGGGGTGGAGGCTGAGCTCTACATGTCTCAAGCAAAAGATTATTTTGGCCGATGGGGTGCATATGCCAAGGTTGATCAGTTGGAGCTTGCTGGACGTCACAACTCCATGGGGTTTTCGAGTCAAAGCAACGCCTAATCCATTCAAAGCCAATGCAGCTCTTGGAGAAACTCCAGCCACACAACGTGGTTGAAGCATTCGTCCACAACATCGCTTTCCAACCAGATATGGAGAGAAGTTATCATGGATGCAGACTTTCGCCTTGGGTGCCCTGCCATCATCAGATCAGTCGCCTCAAATATCCTTACTCAGATCAGTCCTGCCCGAACAGCCATCGAGGCGGCATGCGGATCATGTCTCAAGACACACCAACTGGTCTCCCCGCCAGTTATGGCATACAGATGCCTGGAAGGCTCATATCGATCTAGAACGATGCATGTCTCATTGTGTACACAAGGCGTCCACGACAACGCTGTGTCAATTATGGACGACTGTTCTTGCTTACTTTGCAACATAATTTCGTAAAATCTAGCACCTCTTGACCACTTTCAATAGCTGCCATAGCTACTGTGTCTTCCAAAACACAATGGAGAGGACTCTTCCCGTTATGATGCTGCTGCCTGTTTGTAGTATATGGGGTCTAGCTAGAGTGGGGTGGTTATCTACGGAAGCCGGAAATGAATAAGTCAGCGGGAGCTGCGATACCTCGGCATCACCAGCATTCACTTTGCCTATTATTGTTCCCGGGTAAATGCTTGGCTGGATCAAATTAAGATTCCTTCCAAGTCATCTGTCACATTCCACATTGGTGCGGGGTGGCAGAATAATTAAACAGATAGATCATCACCAGTCACATTCCATGTTGGTGCTGCGGAATTATTGAACAGATCACAATCACAGGAGGAGCAACCACAGAGATGCCCGGGTGAACAGTCAAACTCAAGCCCATCTCCTAGCATGCAGAGCCCCGTGGGAATCGTTCCAGTCAACATGATGTTCCCTTGGATATGAAAAGTCTTGAGCTGCTGGCTAGCAAAAGTCATGTTGTCCACATTTCCTTCCAAAAAGTTGTCATCTAGTTGCAACTCGGAAAGAAAGGGCAGACCTCGCAGTTCACTTGGGATGGTCGAAGTCAACTGGTTGGAATACAAAAGAAATCGATCCAAAACCTGCAACTGGCCCAGTTCTGATGGAAGTGTGCCCGTGAGTTGGTTGTTGTAACCCTCAAATGTGTCCAGAGATGTTGCCAATCCAAACTCAGTGGGTATGGTTGATGTCAATCGGTTGCTATCAACATAGGCCCAGACAACATGAGAAAGCAGTCCGATTTCGGATGGAATTGGCCCCTCCAAATCCATGTCATACAAAGAAAGCAGCTCCAGGCTTGTAAGCTGGCCAACTTCAGTGGGAATCCAACCAGAGACGGGGGTTGATTCCACACTAAAACGCTTGAGTTTCGTCAAAGAGAACAGTTCTGTTGCGACTGTCCCTGTCAACCCCATCTCAACAAACCAGAGCTGGCGCAGATCAGTTAAAAGGCCAAGCTCTGTTGGGATGGTTCCAGCCTTTGCGCCATATGACAAGTCCATGATTTGGAGTTTCGTCAAAAGACTCAACTCTGGTGGGAGAGTCCCACCCAAGCCATTGTCCCATGGTGTGAGAAACACGTACTCCATGTCATTGGAACAATGATTGAGATAGTATTTGGATGAAAACTCAGGATAATGTGTTTCATCCTCCTGAGAGAACCATGTGCACTCATTTTTCTCCGACCCATAATGGAGCCAGTTCTGATCCTCCCACTTCTCCCCTTCGGTTGCAAAGTAGAGTGTGGCCAGGGCAAACCTTTGAAGACGCCTACTATTGTTGTATGAAGAGAGGTCTGGATCACTGCTTACCCATTGGTAGGCCATGGATTGCGGGGAGGTTTGGTTCTGGAGTGATGCCAACGTGAAATTCGGCAGTCCTTCCATGAGCGCCAAGTCAAAGTAAAAGGTGGGAGCACTGCTTGGGGCCAATGTGGGTGCATCGGTAGCATTGACAGAGATCTCCTGCGGTTCTTGTTCTTCGTTTCCATCCGACGACTTGGATCCCACTGATACCGCAACCGAAATGATGACAACCAGCAGTAGGACTGCAAGACCAGCTAGAATCATCATCCTGCGGTTCTTGCCGGCAGCTCTCTCATGTGCGTTTTGGCCATCATCTTGCGCAATTTGCACCTCGACATTGTCTGCTTCCACAACATCCTGCATTATTTCTTCTCGTAATTCCTTCCGAAGAGACTCCTTGACAGCTTCCAAGTCCTTTTCCGGCTCATTCTCCTCCACAATAAAGGCAGTGACCAATTCCGGTCCATTGACCGATGGTTGTCTCAGAACCGAACCCTCATTGTTGTACACTATGGTATGGGAACTGCCACCAATAAGGGATCCTGCTCCTTGTCGAAACGCTCCTGGCTCGGATTCTGCTGCTGCCGCCGTTGCTGTCGGTTCTGACGAGCTGCGATTGCTGTGACGAAAGCTGGAGGTTGCCACGATCATTCCCAAATCAGTAGCGCTTAATTCTTGATGGACGTGCCGTTGATCCGGATCTTCATTCTTCGATTTTGCGTCCTTTTTATTCTCTTGCTCTGCCCTAGTAGTAGTTGGCGGTTGACGAGGACCCGTTGCATGCTCAGGGGAATGAGTGGGAGTTCCTTTGTTTTCCCTCTCTGTCCTTGTGAGTGTTGGTGTCTTTTCTTGATTTGTACTGCACGCATTACTGGAGGTTCCGAGAGGAGACTTGGCCTGACCATCATTGTTGACATCACGATATGACGTTTCTGTCAAGCTCAGAATGGCGTCGTGGCCCAAAGCAACGGTACCAGTACGACCACTTTGTTGTGTCCCATCACTCAACCTGGTTTCCGTTGTAGACAGCGCCAAATGCGAAGAATCGGTGTTGTCCCCAGGCTCTCGTTTCTCTCTTGGCAAGAATCGTAGCTGAGCAGTGCTTCTGCGGGTGCTCGGACGACTTACCATGTCAGACAGAGTTGAATCGGCTTCCACAGATGATTTGACTTCGTCGCTCATGGTTGCGGCAATGTGTTGACAAAGGAACCAAGGAGGTTATTGGAATGGAAGTGGACAAGGCGGATGACTGGTCGTGACAACGAAGATCGCAGATTTTCTGAAAACTCAGCGTCATGAATGGAATCGAATCGAGATTCGAATTCAATCGAAGATTGAATCGAATCGAATCCGGCGAATTTCGTCGCTTCTTCCTTTTTTGCCTTTGCCGAAACAAAACGACGAGAGGAAGATGGCTAGAAAAGACGGCAGTGAAGTCCGTCGACGGACCAAGAAACAGAGTGGAAAGAGTAAAAAAGGGAACCATGACGGACAATCTGAGAAGGAGTCAAAGCCAGCTCCCACTGCCTCCAAAAGCACCACTGAGGAGGAAGAGGAGGAAGAAGAATCCTTTTTTCAGACGCTCTCCTCTCATTGGCTTGTCCGATACTTCTTTCCCATCTATGCTGTCTACACTGGTCTCACAGCCTTGGAAACAGACAATCTGAAATTGAAGCCCCTGCAGCATTGGGCGTTGCAGGATGCCGAATGGATCAACTGCCATATTCCCATGTTGCAGCTACGAGAATCGGTAGGACACTCGGACGAGAGACAAGTACTGATTGTGGGCACCATGAGTTCGGGGACGCGACAAGTTGCTTCTAGTTTGCGAGACACCATTGGCTTGGAAATTGGTCACGAATTGAGTGACAGTCAGAGTTACTATGTGAGAGATGGAACCGTCTCGTGGTTTTTTGGAATTCGATTTCTTCCCGTCGATCCTTCGACTTCCACCCTAGGCAAGAAGATTGTCACTCTCTGTCAAGACGCGACCTTCGAAATGGGATTCCATCCTCGCATGTACAGAGCAGGTGTCTGCTCCGAGCGAGAGCAGTGGTCCCGTTGTTGGGCCAAGGAATGTATGGAAATTTCGCAAATGGAATGGGGGTGTGCTTGGCGTCCGGATGGCTGCCAGTTTCAACCCTTTCGAAGATCTCTTCATCAGACGCGACATCCAATCGCGACAGTGGAGAGTTTAGTGGCCAAGTTTTGTGACACGGAAAAGCAAGATGCGTTTATCAAAATGTTCCGGCTATTGTTTGGAGACCAACATCCAGATTTGGATCGATACAGCTGCCTAGAGCTGGCGACTCATTATGTCATCGAATACAACCGGGCCATGGCGACGGCACGAGAAAAGGGACTCATTCATACAACTTACAAGGTAGAGGATACCACTCCCTGCCAAGCAGCCGAATTGGCTGGATTTGCCAGTGAGAATGACCTTGTGCACAGCGACAACCAAATGCTGGTTCAAACCAAATGTCAATCATCGCAAGACAGTGCTGGACGTCAACTCATGAAACCGAGAGAGATTTACAAAGTAAACCAAGACCGCGTTCGTTTGAAGTTGTCGGACTTTGAGGGAGGCAGACATGGCAGCAAAAGGTCTTCCGGCGACATGGCTCTGGTGGAGGAGGTACAGGCTATCGTGACACTGTTGGGATACGAACAAGAAACACTGGTGACCAACTAATAGCTGATTGGATGTAAGTGACGCATTGGAACAGCAAAAGGAACAATGGCTTGGTCATCCTTCGATAAGCAAACGGCTTGAACCTAGGACAGCTTATCGGGCCCCAAGCAGACGTTCGGCGTTTTGAACGGAGCACCTGCTCGAAAGCTTGTGAGTGGTTGAGCCAGCTGAATCGAATCCGTGCATGGCAAAAGAAGCCTCCAAAGAAATAGCTACTCTGCGCTCGTCCGAATAATCACGCCCTGCATACAAAGGCTAGCAATTTTGAACACGGAGATCGTTGGTGCTTTCGCACAGCAGTCACATGCATTCGGTTTTTAAAAATGGTTATTGATACATGTAAAAATTCAGAAATCGCTAATCAAAGCTCAAAATACTGAAGACACAAAATTGTAAATCATCTCTCTCCTCTTTTTCCTCGGTCAAAACAGCCATCAGGCGGTCAAACATCAATTATTAGTTGCCCTCGGCCAGCGCGGTTTCCAAAAAGTCGAGAACGTGTTGGGCCTTAACACTCTTGGCCTCGTCCATAGCAGTGTTGTTCCAACGATCACGCACTGTCAAATCAGCGCCAAACTCCACCAAAACCTTGAGAGCGACGAGATTACCCTCGGCGGCCGCAATGTGAACGGCTGTCCGCTTGTCATAATCGCCAGCATCGACGTTAACCTTGGCTGTTAGCAAACGACGCAACTTCACCGTGTCTCCATCAAAGACGGTCTGGCACATGACGGAGGCGGATTCGTATTCTGACATGCACAGCTCGGCACCGTGTTCCATCAGCAGTGCCATTGTCTCTTCATGCCCGTTCTTGGCAGCTTCGTGGAGGGCCGTTGTCCCGTGCATGTCTGCTAGGTTGGGATCTGCTTGATACTCCAGCAGCTTTTTGACCGCTTCAATGTTGCCTTTCATGGAGGCTACCATCAACGCCGTCCTATGGTCGTAGTCAGCAGAATTGGGGTCAAAGCCCTGGTCGCACATCAGGGTAATGGTTGCCGTACTATTTCGGGACGCGGCAAAGAGGAAGCGTGTTGTGTGGTCATCTTTCATCTTGTCAATATGCATCTTGATGACATCCTTGCACGCCACAACCGCAGACTGGGCCTGAATAGTAGCAACGGCCTTGTGCATATCCAGAGGATCACTGTCACTACGCTCAGATGCATCGGCGAAGGCACGTGACGCGTTCATATCAAAGACCGAGCCAGCCTTGAGCACCTCCATGCGTTTGGTTAAGCACATGTCGGTGTCTCCAACTTCTTCGGCCATTTCTTCAACTTTGTGCAGTAGATTGGATAAGATTTTACCAATACTTCCGGGATGATCGTCTGCAATCATTTTGTAGGCACTTTGGGATAGAGTCAACGTCTTGCAGACTGTCTTTGTGCGAGACGTATCCGTATTGGGCGTTTCAGTAAAGAAGCTGATGTCATTGATGAAATGACCTGGGCCCAGAATACGAACATCACTATAGCCTTCTTTAAAACCTTCACTGTCACCAACACTGGTAGTTTCGAAGAAGGAGGTTTCGTCTCCCATGGAATCCCGTCGTCTGCGTCGATTGTCGTGTTCTTGCTGATCGCGGCTAAATGCATCTAGCAGCTTGACTTTTCCGTCGACCAGCAAGTATAGATCATTGGAAGCACAACCCCTCGAGAGAATTTCTTCCCCGGCACTGAAAATCTCGACAGTGCAATTGGTCAAGAAAGCGTCCACAAACTGCTGACGAATGCCCTTCATGAGACTGGTTTGCAGTAGGGAGGGTAGATATAGTTTACGGAGGACCTTCCGCCGTACGGAGAGTGGCAAGTTCTGCAACACTTCTTCATCGGCGATCTGTCTGTTGTTGAAGTATAGTTTTGCCTGAGTACGAAGTCGTTTACGGAATCGTCGATCAAAATCATGAATTTTGGCGTAATTGTCCAATGTGAGCAAGGTATCTCGATACTCCGAAGTCACTTCATCTTTTTTGACAATGAGGAGTGTAATGGAACCAATCATCCACGCAGCTATAACCATGTTGATCAGCATGTAAATCATTCCAAAGATTTGCTCCGCTGGGTTTACGGGGGAAAAGTCGCCGTATCTGAATAATACACATCAACAAGAACGTTAGTAGATGCACAGCTTTAAAAGAAACAAGCAACCGATTGCCACATTTATTCTGGACTGTTTCTTTTTCTTTTGTGGCGACTTGACTTGAATTGACTTACCCCACTGTCGTAAAGGTGACGACGGACCAATACAAGGCCGTGACATAGCGTTCATATCCAGTCGATTCATTGACTTGTCCTCCAATCCACGTTTCTTCGTTTTCAAAGTTGTACTGACGAGCAATAAAGTACATGACACACGCGGCAAAATGCGTCCACACCATTGCGGCCCCAAAGTTTCGTGTCAGAGTCAGCGCTGTCAATGAGACATGAGTATTGTACTGGAGCGCATCAAATAGTTGTTTGATGCGATGCAATCGCACCAATCGAAAGAGCCTCAAGATACTCAAGTATCGTGCCAAGTCGGAATCTTGTCCCATTTCTCCGGTAATCGCCAAAGCGACATAGTAGAAAGGGAATACTCCAATGAGATCAACCCAGAACATGAGTTTGAAATAATTGCGTGCAATCAAGCGTCGGTCGGTGATCATTTCGTCGTGATCGTTGTAAAAGGCCAAATTGAAATGCACGAGAATATCCACCGTGAAAATGGCCATAAAGAGGAATTCGAGGACCGAAGCGGCATCGTTGTGTGGAGGTGGCATCCCAGCAGGACTAAAGGCGATCTGGAAGGTCTCAAAGAAGATGGTCATGACACTCCAAAAGCAGGAAAAGCCCCACCAATAACGGTAGCTCGGGGTCCACGGCAAAAAGACATGATTGGTCACTTGCTGTTCCACTTTCTGACGCTTGAATGACACATCACTCATTTGAGCCAGCTGTTGCCGGCGATTCATCTTGGAATCGTTGTCGCTGCTCGCTGGTTTGCCCACGGAATGGCCTCCCCAGGTAACTCCCTTGTTGCTGCCAGTGCTCATCGTCACCGCAGAACTTTGATTGACGCTGTTGCCGTTGGTTCCTACTTGGGTAGTCTCAACATCAGTGGTACCTGCAGCAGGAGAGGAAATCCCGGCAGTAGTGGTGGCCGTTGCTTCTGGAGTGGCAAAAGCACCCGTCATCATCATGTTTTCTGTGGAATTGGCTTCTTCGGAAGGAACTGTGGATGATTGGGTTGGATCCATCTTCTCTCTCTTCCAGGAAAGAAAAAGTGAGACTGGACTCTGGCTTGACGAATTGGATGAAGTGAGAACAAAGAAGATACCCTATGCTCAACCAAAGATCTTGCTATTTCATTTCAAAGCAATGCTTCAGAGGATATTCTTGGCAGCTGAACTTATTTGATGGCTTCAGCTTGAGGCGCATTTGTGGTGGGTGTGGGATATTATTGGGTTCAAGCGGTTGTTCATGGTTGATGTGGTGGCATGCAGTTGCTGATTTGATGCTCTTCACGAGGAGAGAAGATCTGTTGCTGCCAAAGGTGAAAAGGGAGGGAAGTGCCGAGGGTGTGACACAAATGCAGACACGTCAACCAATCAAAACACTTGAAGCTTCACTTGTCCACGAAATGGACGAAAGATACTTATAGGGGCATTGAAGAAAGAGATTCCCTAATTCTCTGGTATCGGTACCGGCACAACCTTAGGATCTCAAAGGACCTCAAGATAATCTTTCGTCGACGGCAATACTCTTCACAGCCTTGAAGGCTTAGTATTCTGGATCCATTCTGGATCCACGATCCACGCCCTCAAAGCTCGGACAGCAGCATGAGGCTCATTTTTCTCAACCATGATTCTTGTCTCACCATCCTGCCCCTCCTGCCCCCTGGATGATACGGTACGCCATAATGGTTGATCTTCAGTTTAAGATCGCAAATGACTGATTCAATCATTCCATGAAGGCTTACAGTCCTAATAATCTGGATCTTTTTGCTAAAATCGTAAAGATCCATGCCTCACAAAGCCCGGACAGCTCGAGGCTCATTTTTCTCTGGTCGCCATCTTGTCCCTTGGATATGCGCCATACTACCGGTAGATGATGTTCATTTAATAATCATAAGATACCATCTGGAAGGACTGAGTCTTTAATAAAGGAAGAGCGAAGTGCAGTAACTGGAGAGAGAAATAGTAAGGTCATGGCACCATCAACAACAATCCGTCAACACGCAACCATAAAACGGCGAAGTCCAATGAAGACGATGCTCAAGGGCGAGATGAAAATCGTTTTTGTGGGAATGTTTGTGACGACATTGGCACCTTTATTGCTTCACATGAATGTGCACCACGCGGACATGGTGAATAGAGAGCTAAGACTGGCTGGTCGTGGGAATAACATGCCGCACATTCCATCCTTGAAAGATAAACTGATGCATCTCGATCCAGATGTGGTAAGGGCGGCTCACCACCAATCGGCCAAAGACAGTTCAACTGACGTGCAGGGGAAGCAAACGAAGCAGAAGAAGACGACACAGTCTGGCGCCTATCAGAAACTATCAAAGGTTGCTATGGAGTTATCTCCGTTCAAGACGAAACCAACAAACACCAAGACACAGTGGGATAACGTCGCTCTGGCAGCCAAGAATGCAGAACAATCTATTCTGGATTTCTTTCACGGGGAACATCGCGCCTTGCAAGATGGGGTTCCCTTTGGAGGCACAGAAACTAAGCTCAGTGTGTTGACCGAGCGTCTCGCTGATCGGATTGCTCTCTGTCACGGCAAGGGCATTGCAAACAGCAACGACGGCAACAGCAACTGTACATTAAGAGTGGTCTTTCTTGGCGGAGGCCAGGCGTCAGGACGGGATATCTTCAAAAATCAAACGTATGCATACCAGGCCGAACCGCGATTACGTGCCTTGGCCCAAGCTGCTGGCTTGAAACTGGAAGTACTCAACCATGCAATGGACTCGGATCTATCCCGGGAAGGACCGCAGACTTTGCACCAATGCGTGGCCAACTTTGCCGGCAATTCTGTCGATGTCCTATCCTGGGATTCGGAGAGCACCATGCAGGGAAACCCTTCTGCCCAAATCGAAGCCTTTGTACGGTGGGCTTCCGTTTTGAAACCGGCACTCATCATGTTCAATCGGGGTGGGCCTCATGCAAGGTCACGACGAGGAATACCCAGAGGTGTGGTGAATCTGGTGGCCAGTCACGATGCCACTGTCTACGACGACAAGCCAGAAGATATCCCCGAACCACGGGAAGATCCATACAGTAACTCTTCCAGATTTGAAGAGCTATGGGCCAATCAGCGAAACTTGTTTTGGGGCGACGTGTTTGATCGCTACTCGTCGTACATCGACTTCGCCGGTATTGATCCATCGGGGTCCATTTGGCATTTGGATCACCTCCAAGAGTTTTCCAATGGTGCCTTTGAGGAGGGCAAAGCATTACCATTGTACGATTGCCCGGCTCCAGGGCACCCCCCACCATGTGATCAGGTCCCCCCTTATGTCATTCGTCATCTTGCCAAGGAGAACAAGTCCATTGAAAGTTTGCCTCGTGATGACACATCAGGGGCATTCTGTGGTGTCGAGTTTGGGTGTCGCCATGCATGGTGTAAGTTCGGTTGTGCTTCTCATCGTCTTTTGCAGTACTAGGGTGGCATCTAACTCTCGTTTTCTTTTTAGACGGAGGAACCCGTTCTCATGCCTTGCGAGCAGCACTCAATGCCCTCCCGATTGTAAGGGCCTTTCAGTCGGCTGCGAAACTGCTCGTTGCAAGGGACTGCGAGGACATCGAAGATCCAGACCAGCAACACAAGAATCCAAATACCAACAGCCACGCCTTTACAATGAACAGTCTGCCGGAACCCAAATACTGCTCTAAAAAGTTCTGCACCTTGAAACCAACCTGCTTGTCTACCTATGTACCCAATATTGGCCATAAACTGGGACCTGCAATTCTTTCCAATGAAACCTTCCCTGCCAGTATGCCTCGGCTCGGAGCGTGCCACTATGCTCACAATCCAGAGTTTGCTGTTCGTAACCTCAATAGACGCTTTGGCCCTCTGGGGTGGGACGATCGCAAGTATGCTTTTCGTTTGGCCAAGGAAGATCCCAAAGAGGTCGAAAAGAAGAAAAAGAAAAAGGCCAAAGGGGAACAAGTGGACGATGAGGATGCCTCGAGCACAGCCATTGGATTTGTCACAGATGGACCAGGACCGCTGGTCCTCTGTGAGCCTCCTTGTTTCATCGACGAATGCAGCCCCAAACGCAAACGACCCCTGGTCAAACATGTTACCCTCAACCTGGATGGCACTGATCTCCAAACGCCAAATGGCCCTCCGCCCGAGACGGAAGTTGGTGGCATGTTTTGCCGAGTCATTGCCAAACAGGTTCCGGCGGGGCGGCACATGCTCCGAATCTCCACAGAAGCGGTCGCACCGGATCATGTCATGTTTTCCCATCTGATCTCCTTCGTTTGATGGATGGAATCAACAAGCCAACAACAACCCCAAGAAACAGCGAAGAACCAGCAATCCAAAAAAGATGGAGTATGGGGAAAGATAGATAAACTACAAGATCAACCAACCGGCTGATGACCACATTGATTACACTAATTCAATTGCATTAATTCATAGATTCATGACCCGTTCTTTGTACATGATGCAATGCCAACAGCGGCTGTTTTATACTGTACTCCCCCGACGGAGCTCATTGCACACTCCAATCACACACCACCATTCTGTGATCCGACATACTGCACGGAGAGACATACAGACCCACCAAGCTCAGTCCAGGCCCTCGAAAGTATGTGTGATCAACGAGGGTCCCAGACCAATGCGACGACGGAGGCGGTGCCCCGTTGGGCCAGTTGCGTGGCACTGCAGCGTCCCGCTTGTGCTCTCCAGGTACATTAACATCAAAGGCACAACGAAACCCAGCCTCTTGGAGCATGGACGAGACGCCATCATCCGTGGGAGAATCCCTGCGTCTTTTGCTCTCACAAATGCGTTCCCATTCTCTTGTTGTGTAATCTTGGACTCTTTGTTGGTTGAAGTCCCCCACCACCAACATTCTCGGATTCTAGGCTCAGTTCCGGATGTCTTTGCAAAACCGCCAGGAACTGTTTCATTTCGGATCGTCGGTATTTGCCTTGGGCGTCGTCACCAGCCTCTAAATGGGTTCCATAGATCCACAATGGCGTCGTGGTGGTTGTGCCCTTGTTGCTTTTGTTGTTGTGTTGAGGTGGAGCTACGGGAACCGCCACGACGGCTCGAGACATATCCAAGCCAAATTTGACAACAGGTCCTACAACTGGCAATTTGGTAGCGACCACCATTGGAAAGTAACAAGACGAAGTGTGGAATGTGTACCCATGTCGTTCCAGCCGTTCTCGACGGATATCGGCGGGTTGGTCACTCCATGATCTCTTGAGGGACTTGTTTGTGACAAGCGGCTTGACGCCAAATTCATTGAGTATAATGACATCGGCATTGGTTTCCAAAACTCGATCGGCAATCCTCCGAGCGAGTTTATGTGCGTCGGGAACTTCTTCCGAGGGTTCAAATTGGTGAACGTTCCATTGGCATGTTCGAAGTAACCGTGGTGTGGGTTTGGGAGGAACGCAAACGCCCTCCTTGGTGGCTCTGGCATTATCTTGCATGTACAACTCGTACAAGGTTTCGACCGTCATGGTCGCATAGTTTGGCGACGTGAGCGCTGCTGGACGGAGCTTCCACATCTATCTTGCTGTGCTTGCTTTGGTTGTGTCAGGACCACGGAAAGGATCATGTTTGGGAATACTAGTACTATCCACGTCTCAACAGTATCGTACCTGACAGCACTGCGTGACAGCTCTCCAGTTCTGTGACTGCGTGACATGTGATGCGGTGATGACGACATCACGACCTCGCAGGGCGATCGATCAATGACCGCACGGGATACGAATTACGAGCCAACCTCGTAATTGATTGGTATTATCTAGTAAAAAACCTTTTTTAAATTTTTTTTCGATGTTCTCTATTAAAATTCGAACCATTTTCGAGAATCACTTGATATCTACGAATTTAAGGAGCTTTTTGTTGTTTTTCCAAGTTTTTCCTCATGTAATAACTTCGGGTCCTCTAATCTTCATCTCCAGCACCAGATACTGTGATTAGTCTAGTTCCGAGTTCCGAGTTCACTTCTAAGAGCTCTTCTAACTAAGTAAGGTGTAATCGTACCATACTGTAGAAGCCCAACCTCCACCCACCATCCCCACCAAATCTTTATGCAAACTGATCAACTGATGCCTCCAATATTTTTGGAAGAAGCCCTGTCAAGCTTCACCACTGTAGATACTGGTTCGTACATGTACCAGTTCTATCGCCAGCAACACGTTGGGCACAATCATAACTTCTTCACCTGATCAATCATAATTTTCTCGGTCATAATTTGTTACTTTGCAATATCCTGAACTGGCACCATGAAGTCTTTTGCTTTCGTCCTATCTCTACTTGCCCTCTTGGCGGTCGTTGCCGGCCAAAACGCAACCTTGGCTCCCGAGGTCTTTGATGATCTAGGTGCTTGCCTCCGAGGAGCGCTGGACATTATCAAATGTGGTGACAACACAACCGAGTGCACCTGCTTTGATGACCTTTTCAGTGAGTTTAGTTCACTTCTTGTCCTTGTGTCCGTACTTACCAGTACCTGGTACTTGCTTACTTACTTATCCTTGCCTCGCTAACCATCGCCTTGTTGTCCGTGCTGTCTTTCACCCATTCTTTTTTCACTTGATCTATGCTACAGATCAACAGGGTGAAGCACAAAAGGTCGTCAACGAGGATGCCACCTGCGATGAAATCAGTGCCGCGATTTGTGGTCTCGTTGAAAAGGCCAAAAGCTGCTGCGTGCCATGCGAAGCGACAGTCTCAAGAGCTGCTATCTGCGCGGATGAAAACCACGTCCTAAAAACCAAAAATTGCACTCGGGCACAAGAGTGCGCTGTCGAAGGACTCGAGTCGGGCGCTATTTCGGCAAGTTCCATCGGCGCCATTCTCGTGGCTGCGTTTTCCATGTTCCTCTAGCTAGCTACCGGTAGGTAGGTAGTTGGTTTACTCTGAATTCTGACCTGAGCTAAGCTAAGCAAGGGTAATCAATCAAAATATCAAAGGATCCAGAACGGACAAGATCAGATCAAATGTGCGCGAAACCGTATTGAAGAAGCTATGCTGCCGGCTGTCCGGTTGTCTGGCACCAGGGCCAACTGAAAAGCTCTCTGGATTCAGACAGCAGCAGCTTGTGGCGTGCGAAGTTTACTATAGGTAAAGATAAATTTTAAATGCAAGTACTGAAGAAATTGGATCTTTATTGCTGCGCCATTGCACTGTGGAGACTGTTTGTTCTAAGGAGCCACGAAACTTCAATGGTCGGTCTGGCAAGCTTTTTGTAATACACGCCGCGGTCGTCGTAAGCGACCTGATACTGGTGAATAGGACCTGGGATATGATTCTAGCTTCGCAAACATGGAATGGCTTGACTTTTTTGCCTCCAGCCAGTGGTTGACTGAATGATTCATTCAATCATTTGGCTTTGCCAACAACAGAAGCGCCAAAGGAGTAGCTGTATCCATTTATTATTGCTTTATGTATCTGCTCGTAGCTAGTTGTAGCTAGTAGACACGTTTCTTCACGCATGTCATGTCGTGGTATGGCGCATCACCCCCTCTACGTATCTGGTACGCACTCTGTGTTGTTTTCGTTCGTTTCGTTCGTTTCTCCCACGCCCTTTTTTGCTGTGTTGGCGTGTAATCTCGAACAGTAATTCGTTGTTGACTGCAAAACCCCAAAGCATAAAAAAGACGGAATGCTAGCTAGTAGCGAGCAAGCGCATCTTGCTTGTTCCAATCGCTCTCTAGAAGAATTGCGGCCCACCCAGAGTCGAGTATTGGTCTCGATTCTCTTGTACTATTTCCCGCACCAAATGTGCCGAATTCCGACGTCGTCGCAATGCGGATCGCAACCGTCCCGAAATATCCTTGATGACTTGCACCTTTCGAACCATTTGTCGGAATTTATTTCGTACCGATTGCTTCTTTTGCATCACTGCAATGTACAATCCTGTCATACAGGCCGTGGCCAACCCCAAGCATACCGCAGCCACTAGCATGGCTCCTTGAGCACCCAACTTGGGAACCAGTAAAAATACCGTGACGACAATGGCATTGAGAGGCACTCCAAACAACGTCATGAGGACACTGCGATGTGTATCAGGGAGATAGGTGGATCGGAGGGTCCCAATCGACGGAAAGTACATGCCAACGCATGCTTCAAATGTGAAGAATGCAAAGATGAGTTTGGGCAGTTGTTCTTGTGGCGGAGAATTGTTATAGTCCGAGACAGTCCACGTTGCCAGTAGTAACGAAACTGTTGCCACGGCCAAGAGGACAATGGTTTGTCGTTCGAATTGTATATTGTTGGCTTGTTTGTTCCTCCGACTGAGCATTCCAAAGAGGGTCGACCCGGCCATGCAAGAAGCCATAAAGCAGGAAAATGCAGTGCCATACGGCGTGACAGCATCGGCCCCATATGCCAGTTGGATAGCCTTGTTGAACATGGGTGGCCATTGGAGGACAAAAATGTACATGGCACCTTCAAAGAAAGCCTGGACACCACCCAAGTAGGCAATCTTTTTATCATTCAAGACAACATGCAGTGCGTCTCCGATAGATGACGGGCTGCTTTTCTTTTTCTTTTTCTTCTCCTCTTCGTCCTTGCCTTCGTCGCTAGCAGTGTCGTCGGACGACGATTCCGTAACGTCGTCTTCTGATTCTTCTGGTCTCCGTATGTTGTTTGGTTCTTCTTCCTTGTTGTTGTTGTTGTCCTTTTTACTACTCGCTGAACCTGCTTTATTTTCGGACCACAAAAAGGCCGCCAATAAACCTCCCGTAAGTAGAAAAAACGGCGACAATTGAAAGGGTCCGGTGGGTCCCGTTTTATTGGCAGCCCATCCCGCCAATTGTCCCGCTGCAATGGCCACAACAGGATCATAGGCATACGCAATGGTAAATGTCTCTTTGATTTGTCCTTGCAGAGTACTGACCAACCATGCTTCGGGTGCGGCACTGAGTAAACTGGTCCCCAATCCGCCCAGTGCTCGTCCAGCAAAGAGCATCCACAGGTGATTGGTGGTGGTGGACAGACACCCCACTCCATAGAGCAAACATGCCACCAGTGTCCCCAATTTGCGTCCGTACTGATCTACCAGTTTTCCCAACAAGGGACCCAACAACGCGATACTGGCATAGCCCACCAAGGAAATGTACGAAATTAATTGTGGTGTGACGGGCTGCCCATTGCTCAATACCTTGCTCGCGTAGGCAGCGTAAAAGTAGGGACCACTCATCCAAAAGGAAGTTCGTAAACACCAAAAGACAGACAGAAACTTCCATTGCGTGGCACACATGGATGGTGGTTTCTTTGACGTGCACTGATCGTCGTCGTCGTTGTTGCTTGTTGTGTTTCTTGTTGTTCCTGGATTATATTGCAAGAGCCTCGCCAACACTGTCACACTGACCAATGAAACCAAAAGGGTATGAAATAGTGTAGCTGGATCTTCTTGAAGTTTGGCTATTTGTACCACTATCCAGGTGGGAAGAGTGAAAAAGGTCTCTGATTCTCCCTCTTCCGATGATATCCGTGCCATACTGGACGAAGTAGGAAAGCTCAGAGGCATCCATCCCGGTAGCAGCAGATTCTTGACTCCTAGCAGCCAAGCAGGTGTACCAGTAGAAGTAGCAGCAGCAAAGTCCATCATGGTATTAGTTCCACAAGTGCTGCTGTTGTTCATACTGTACAGTAATCAATCGGCTCGGATATTATGGTTGGATCCAACAACAATAAGCTATGCACAAGAAACAACGGCAGAGACAAGAAAGAAGGAAACTCGACTGCGTCGGAGTATCGCACGCGGCCAAGTCAAGAAAATGGATGTTCCGGTGGGCGTGAACCCACCCTTCTGATGAAGTGGCGATTGGGAACCTCGGGCTCTGAAATCTAATCGCGCGGACTTACGTGGCAGCCTTAGCTGACCCTAATTTGCTTTGAGTACCGCTAGCTGCAATGGGGGTAGAGCAAGTGTGCGCTTCAATAAAACACCTCTCCATGCTTTTCACGTTTTTCGCGTCGTTGCATTGTCGCTTGCCTCCAACTTTGGTAGACTAGACTACTGCTGTGGCTGTTGCTACCGTAGCTAGCTAGCCAGCACCATGACGCCTTTACTACGACGACTCCTGTTCGTTGCTTATCTACTCATTGGATGGAGAAACTGTCGGTTGGCAATGGCCATGGTGGTCGAGGAAAGTATGGTTGCGAAACGATGGCAACGGGCAAATAGTTTGGAATCCAGCACTGATAAGGTGCCGATATTCTCCTCGTTATCTATATGTACCTGTAGTAGCAGGAGATCTATGATGGCAACGGCGTTGGCACTGCCAGTACTAGTAGCAATCCCGACCGTGGGAAGCTGCGAAGAAGCCTTGCCCTTTCAAGATAAAGAAGAAGATGATGGCGACAACAAGAGAGGAGGCAAACCATTTGCTCCTGCCAGCGCCCTCTTACCAGCGACCCAGCTCAAGCTGGCAGTCGATCAACTGTATGACTTGTCGCAATCTCTTGACGACAAGACCGCCAGCACACAACAACAACAAAAGTACCAAACGCTACAACAAATGAGTCAATTGTGGAAGAATCGTCCTCCACTCTTTACTACTACAACTTCTGCCAAACAACAACAACGACTGCCTCCACGAGCGTCACCCTCCACGGCACAACTGACAACGGGAATTTCATCGGCCAACAAGCAGCAGTACCAAGCCAACCGCAAAGACTTGACATCGCTCCCCGATCGAATGGCCGCCATGCTCAATCAAGCCGATGTCGAACGTCAATGGGGGATGTTGCAGTACCAAGAATCCAAGCTAGAATCCAACAATGAACTACGAGCCGCACTGAACTATTACACATCCCAACTCGAGTTTGGACAGGCATATTTGTTGACTGCGAGTAAGGAGACGAGAAAACAACTGATTCGGAATGATCAATTACCATCCTTGACGGCAGTCATAACGGCCGACTTGGATTTGAGAGATTTGTATCGCAATGATTTCCTAACCGCCATGGATGATGCCATTGCGGAGATGGAGTATCAATTGAAGCTAACGCCGCAAGAAGTGGACGTTACAGATGTTGTAGAGCTCCTGGAGCAGGCTCATACGGCCTTGTCCAAGTGGTTCGGTCTCATTGCTTTGAGTGATGTGCAAGAGGCAGTGGAAACGGTGAGACAATAAGGGTGAGAGATCAACCACAAATGCCAGCTTGGCTGCAAGCAAGAAAGCAATGGCCAAATCTTTCCGGTGGGCTCGGAGGAGGCTCAAAGCTAAAGAACGGGATAAAAGTCCACAAATCTGTACTCCAGCAATGCATGACTCGACTCGGAGGCTCATCAAGCGGCTATTATTACTTTCTTCCTGTTTGATGGTCAAACAAACATCAAACAGTGTCTCCATTGCTTGCAGCTTGCAGATGCAGTATGTTTCGATGTTTCAGCCATTTGACCATTCAACGTACCAAACAATGCAGCAATAAACAATTCTCCAGTAATTCCAAAGTAGTGTACTAGCCTAGAGTAGTTCTTGGTTTCCATACGCTTCAGTCGCCAGAAAGACATCCATGTTGTGCCGTTGCAGTGCTGCGGTTTGTTGGTCCCGAATACGTACCAGTACAGTAACCGTAGCAGAAGACGTTGAAGACAGGAAGGGTCAATGACATTTGTTTTACAAGAAATCAAGGGAAGTTTGGAACCCCCCTGTGACCCTTGACGCTTGACAACATTAATTTTGTGCCGGCAAAACATGGCCTACGAGTATGGGTGGCACCTCCTGAACCAAAACGGCACTTTTGGGTGGCTAGTTAGCGAACAGTACGAGTACCAGGTAGCTAGTGGCCTGCAGGGGCCTGTTCCATGGGGGACATAGTCTCCTTCCGTACTTCCCTGCTCGTGGTTGTGTGGTGGTGGAGTGGTGGGTGTGGGGAGAGGGAGACAGTCGATCGAGTCGAGTCGTAGCTCGCGTCTCGAACCCTCTTTCTACTGGTACAGCTACTGGTACAGTACCGTACTTGGCACTTGTACTAATACACGTACAGTACAATAAAGTTACTACTGAGTGAATCAGCTCGACTTTACCTTTTACAGTCATACAAGTATCTCAGTCATCGAGTGGAGAATTAAATTTTGTTAAACCCTGTTTATTGCTAAGCAAAACGTGAACTCCAATAGTACTGTAGCCTTCCAAGTTCCAAGAACCAAGAACAGCCATGGTTATCAGCGTCTCTTGTTCACAAACATTGTGGTACTGAGCCAGGTTCATGAATGGCTCACAAAATGGTTACATAAGTGAACTGAACCAGTTCATGAACCTGCTTAACTGAAAATAGTTATGAACTGGCTATTTGAACTGTTCATGAACCTCAAATTGGCTTAAAATGGCCCGATTTTGCATTGATTTTGGTATTGTGAGCTATGAACAACTGTTCATGAGCTGGCTAAACTTATGAACTAGCGTTCATGAACGGTTCATAAACACGGTTCATTGAACCAGTTCATGAGCATTCATTGAACTTTTTGGTGAACAAGAGACACTGATGGTTATTGCTAACTTTGAAGTTTCGAAGACGTGAAAACGTGAAAACCTTTTGCAGGAATTCTATCTGTAAGCTGTGACTCAAAGATGACTGAGTTGCCAAAAGGAAGTGTGATGAATGAGGACATGAGGACATTGTGAATTAATTATTGCGAAGGCTAACCATAACATTGTTGCGTCGCAGAAGCTGTATGGTACAAGCCATCGCCTTGTGTCGTCCGGCCATACGGTAGCATTTATTTCTCCGTGGAAACTATGTTTTAACACGAGTTAAGCCTAAGTCCGCCGATCCCGTTGTGCTTTACGTACCGGTGTAGTGTACTTAGTACCATACCGATAGCTTCGCCGACAGACTTCGTGGCCATTTGATGCCTCTCTACTACTAGTGCCCCCACAATTCCAGCCCCAGCCAAAGCGATTGAAGGAAAGCTCACAAATCCAACTTCAGGAGCACGCTACGAAAGCAAGTCAAAACAAAACAAAACAAAACAAAACAATCATGATGAAGAACTTCTCCTTAAAAGATTTGGGCCTTGGAACCGGCAGCACCCACTCTTCTACGCCCAGTAAGAAATCCAAGAAGCTGTCGAAGCAGTCCTCAACCGAAAGTGAAAACATTACAGATTTTATGGAGAGAACAAGACGAAGCAATCGAAGGAAGGAGACCAGAGAGTCCGACCAAGAGAGGCCTTCTTCCACCGGGGACTTGGCTCGTCTTTCACGTGGTCGCAAGTCCAGCAATGGCTTGAACAAACTCAAGACACCCAAGCATGTGCGCAAGTCCCTGGCGGACCTCAAGTTAAAGGATGCGGGAAAGGAAGACTCGAATGTCACTGAATTCATCGATAGCATGAAGAAGAAGGAAGGAATGAAGAAGACTTGGAGTTTCGGCGACAAGGCTGCTATGGGACTTAGCAAAGAGGACCTGGCCAAGCACGCCGAGCGTCTTTTGACTGAGAAGCAGCAGAAGAAGCCTCAGATTCGAGACAAATTCTCCAAGGACCACAAGTACCTGGAGCAAGACGATGTTGACAACATCTACAAGATGGTTCTACAAATGAAAGAATCGGAAAAGGGAGCAGAGCTTCTAGAGGACTTTGTGCACAAGCAAGCTGGTTGCCAACCACGCAACAGGCATCATCAACCTGCTGTTCCCGCGGAGATCAAGATGCGCTAAGGAAAAGCAAATGATTGGGTTAGTTCATGCATAATAGTAATAATAGGAAGAGTCTAGTACAGTACAGTATCTTTATTCGAGAGTCGAATCCAATCTACCGGAAGCGGACGCTTTTTCTTTGGCTTTGGATAGCTCCAGCAGAGCATTGCAAGCAACATGGTCTGTATTTCATTACTGCATGATGTATGACCCACACCCGAACCTTCGCATGGCTCGTCGATTCTTTTGGACCACCACAGGGACCAACAACTATCCACCTTGGACCGATTGCGGGACCAATTCTGGACCGACGCCTTGTCTCACAAGGGGGCCGACGCCTTGTCTCACAAGAGGACCCACCGCTCCTCAATCTCTGGCCACGTCCAGTCCTCTTCTTGAACGAGGGGAATGCCGACGCCTTGTCTCACAAGAGGACCCACCGCTCCTCAATCTCTGGCTACGTCCAGTCCTCTTCTTGAACGAGGGGAATCTCAGATCCATCCAGCAACTTAGACCAGTCGCAGACCAACTCCTGGACTCCATCACCACGGCAAACAGTTTGACCCACCCTGGGAACAGCCGCGTCGCGCGTCGCTCCTGGTTCTTCGCCAGGCACCAGCAAGACCTAACCAGAACTTGGGCTCAACTTGGGCCCAGGGATCAGTATTGATATGCCAACTCCAGGTCCATCACCTGGCCCATCCCGGATCAGCAGGACCCTCACCCGGAACCATTCTTAGACGAATGGCTGTCCTGGACGAATGTCTCACGTCTCACACCAAGCCCAACTGAGGACCAGCCGATGCCTGCCCGAGAACCATGATGTGCGTAGCAAATCGAGCTGGTGGCGAGAAGGAAAGCTCACGTGATAAAGGTAATATGTCGTTCTTACTGCGTGAGAGCAGGAACACAACCACACCAAGCTCTCATACCAGCACCGCAGCCTGTGGATGATCCGAAGCTAAAAGCATAGCATGGCATGGCAAGAAGGTTGAAGAGAAGCGTTTACGGCAGCTCTCATTTGCAAAAAGTTCATTACAAACCCAATACCGGTCAGTGTGGAGCACAAGCAGTCCAAATATGCTGCAATACATAGAGGTCCAAGCTACTAGTGTTACATTCTACGAGTGGTAGGCCTCGAGAGCCCATGTTGTGTGTTGTTTACAGCACTGCTGATCGATCCAGGTAGCTAGAAGTCACCATATCGCTCTTGAGGCTCATCAGGTTTCGTCTTGTCTTCTCCATCAATAGCATATCTTCGAAACGCAAAGCTCAATTCTTCTGAGGCCTGGCTTCCCATATCGTCGTTCTTCTTTCTCCGCAAAGGGGGGACACCGTCTCTTGAGTGCTGTTGCTGCTGCCGTTTCACAAGATTTCTCATATGAGCCTGGCTGATTGCTTCAAAGTCATTGGTGGCTGCATTGACACCGTTGCACGGAGCAAGATCGATGACCTGCATTTTGCCCAGTTCCTCGTCGTGCATGCCATCTTCATCAGACTCAGTGTCGCCACCCAACCGACTTCGGAAGATATGGCTATTGCGGGATTCGCTCGAACCGGACCGAGACCCTTGACTCGCTTCTTGGCAGAATCCCTCCTCCTTGCTGGCTGTGTCACTGGCCTTTCCGATTGAAGCGTTAGACCCAGTGTTCTGGGGTGCGGCAGCCACAGGGGTCTTCGCTGCTTTGAACTTTCGGTACCGAACAGCGGCCAGTCCAATTACACTTGCCGCTAAAAGACAACCTACTCCCACAGCGATGAAAGCAATAGTCCTTTTCTGGTTGGCCTCCATTCGCTCGTCGTAGTCATCGTCGCTGAAGAATGGAACAGAAATGTTGGCAGGTGGCTGTGTTGGTGCTTCTGTAGTATATACCACAGGTTCTGAAGCTCCAATCACCGTGATCATTGTCTCTGGGTTCACCCGTTCCAACGTAATTTGAAGTAGGCCACCGTCGATAAAGGATTGAGTCACTCGCACATACTCGGCATACAAACCCTGTCGGTCCATGTCGCCGTCCATTGGAGAGATTTTATAAGAGGCAAACACAGTCTTGCAGATGGCTCCTTCGCTGGCACCAGCACAGTTCAGATCCACAATGTTGTCGATGGATGGACTCTCGCGATCAAGCACAGCAAGCGGTCTCCGGACTGTTTCTTGCAAGCTTCGCCCCCCAAAATACTGCCTTTGCCTGCCTTGTTGCCTCAATCCATCAATGGCCTCCATTACAAATTGTCTGTACGCCTCCTGTAAACTGTCTCTAGTCATTCCCATGATAAATTCTTCGCCGGCAATCCAAACATCACTGTATATGTTAAAGGAAGAATGGATGACGATCGGTTCACCTTGAGGCGTCAAGTCAGAAGGGCTTGCCGTCGTCATTGAAGTATCAGACCCAGTGTATTCGATTGCCATGGCGATTGCCATGTTCACCGCCGCTGTAGTTTCCAGGCATACTTCTCCTAGATGGTGTTGCTGAGCACTATCAGGGCTTTGACCTTCTTGAGAACCCTCGATGTCGATGCTGCCATCGGTCTGTAAGTTCCAAAAGTTGTCCTGGAGGAGAAGCGGGAGTTGCGTAAAGTTGTAGTTCTGAAAGCGGTATTTGCCCATCTAAGATTTGCGGCAGAAGGGAGTTTTGGTTAGTGTTCAAAGCCAGAAACTTGGTACAACAGTGCTGCAACAATGCCTTCTTACCAAGTTGATCAAATCAATGTACTCTGATTGATCCAGAGCGAAGTCATCGTTTTGGTCGACATCATTCATGCCCATGAAACAGGCCGCATACTCGAGCATCGTGTTGGTATCTACCGTGTCGAAAGTATCTCCTTCTCCAGCATTCTTGTTTGCTTCTTCCAGAGCATAGCTAGTCTCAATACAAATTGTGTCCAGGACCTCTTTCTGCGGAGCTGAGAGGTCAGCTCCATGTTTGGCTCCACCAAGGTCAATCCTGGAGCTAATTGCCAAGGCATAGAAGTTGTCCTGCAATTCGTCTGGAAGCGCTTCAAAGTTGTCTTGGCCAAAATCTCCACCAGATATCACCTTGATTAAGGCAACATACTCATCGAACTCGAGCCAGGAGTCCCCGTTCTCATCATGGAGTGTTAAAGACTCTAGGCATTCCTTGAACGTGGCCATCGATGCCTCATCTCCGTCAGTATCACTGACTGGCTCAGCAGACAGCACAATTTCTGTTTCGGCGCAGACCCGATCCAGAAAAGCCTCTTGATCGTTGGACATTGGATTTTCAGAGTTCAACATGCTAATGTCAATCTGGCCATCGGATGCAAAGTTGTTGAAATTGTCTTTCAATCCTTGCGGGAGATCCTGGAATACAGCACCAGGGTAGGGATTATCCCAGTTGTCATTTAGAAACCAAACGTACTCCATTTCATTCATTGCATCGTCCTCGTCTATGTCAGCAAAACTCATGACCATTTTGCAGCCGGACTGAGGATCTAGAGAAGGAGCCATTGTCGGGGCTTGTAATGTCTCTGAAGATACCGATTGGGAACCGTTATCTGCCTCTGTCGCATTAGTGACGTTGTCTGCGGACATAACATCGATTGGTGCGATGGTTGGTTCTGGCTCGGACGTGGAATTTGTCGGAGCGTTGGTTGGGGATGAAGTGGACAATTCTGTTCCGGTGTCATTAGTGTTGTTGGTGCCGGCGGTTGCATTAATGTCTCGAACAGAACTTGTTTCGAGAGTGCTGGGGGCCGTGGGCAAAACAGAAGGACCTGGTGTGGACAAAGAAGGGCTCTGTGTAGGCACAGAAGGCCGAGTGGTGGCTACTGTCGGTGCCGAACTCGGCGAGGATGTCGGGGGCAGCGAACTCTCTGGTTCGCCGAGGGGAGCTGAAGCATTTGCACTTGGCGCGATGGTGGCATTGGCTACGGTAGGCCCATGCGTCGGGTCTTGCTGTAGCGCTGCATCTGTTGCGTTTGGCTGCGATGAATAATTGGTGGCCACTTGATCGTTTTCCGACAGTGGCGGTGTGGTGTTGGAAGTAGATGAAGTAGAAGTAGTTTCTGTGATGTTGGTGTTGTTGTATCCTCCAGATGCTGTCACGTTGGGAGTTGACAATGTCTCATTTTGAAGCGCCAATGCAGTTTGGTTAGTTCCGATGAATTCGAGGTGGTCTGTGCCATTCA